ATCTCCTAACATTGTCTGCACCCTGTATTGTAAACCGCTTTGAGACTCAGATCTGCAGTGAAAAGGCGGTATATAAATAAATACTTACTTACTTACTACTTACCCTGTCTGTTCTTGATAAAGCCCGTTTGGTCCGTATTGACAATTTTTGGGACAAGTTTCTCCAGGCGTTGTGCAATAATTTTTGATAAAACTTTGTAGTCAGCATTAAGGAGGTTAAGTGGTCTGTAATTGCCACACTTTTGTGGATCTTTTCCAGGTTTTGGAAGTAGCGTAATAGTTGCCAACTCTAACGTATTTGGAAGTGTTTCTTTTTTAAATGCTTCTGTAATCATATTTGTTAATGGTGTTAATAGTTTAACTAAAAATGTTTTCAAGTATTCAATTGGGTACCCATCTGGTCCCGGGGCTCAATTGTTTTGTAAAGACTTGATCGCTTGCCGAACCTCTTCTTCTGATATTGCTTCATTTAATGAACTCCTGTCCGCATCTGTCAGTTTAGTCATTTCTAGTTTCTTAAGAAAGTTTTTAATTTCGGTTTCCACTGGCTCCTCTGTTTTATATAATGTTTCATAATATTTTTTGAATTCTAAATTTATGTATTTAGATCCTTCCAAATTTTGGTCGTCGTCAGTTTTGATGCATTGTATGTATTTTTCTGTGTCTTCCCGCTTGAGCTGCCAGGCAAGTAATTTACTAGTTTTGTTACCAAACTCATAGTAATGATATTTAGTTCTCGCCATGGCTGCTTCAGCACTACCAGTGCAAGGATTATCATACAAAGTCTGTTTTTGTTTTAAGGCACTGAGGGTTTCGGATCGTTTGGTGTGTGAATGTTGGATTTCAAGTTTTTTTATTTCACATTCTAGTTGTGATAATATGACTCTCCTCAGTTTATTTTTATGGGATGAATATGAGATAATGTGTCCTCTCATGTAGGCCTTAAGGGTATCCCATATTACTGAGTGCGAGGCAGTATTTAAGTCCAAATATATATCCAACTTATCATTCATGAATTCTATAAAATCAGGGTCTTTGAGTATGAAAGTTTTAAACCTCCACCTTTGGCAGCTAGGATCATCCTGCGGAAGAGACACCTCCATCAACACAGCATTGTGGTCTGATAAAGTTGCTGCCAAGTAAGAGCATTTTTTAATGTTGGGTACTAATGTTTGTGAGGTCAAAAACATGTCGATTCTCGAATACGAGTTGTGGACATATGAGTAGAAAGAGTATTCCCTTTTGCCTAGATTTAATTATCTCCATATATCTTTTAGCCCCAGATCATTCATGCCTTGAACAATGTAGTTGCAGATTTTGACAGAGTAGTGTTCTTGGGGGCTGAACGATCTAATGACGGATTCAACACCAGATTGAAATCTCCTCCCAAAATACACTGACCTTCTGCAGATGCCAATTTCATGATTAAGTTATTGAAAAAACTTGGATCATCTGTATTAGAACCGTATATTGATACCAATTTCAACCTGTTCATGTTAACCATACAGTCAACTAATATGAATCTACCCAAGGTGTCCTTTTGTACTCTGTTCAATTGAAATCGAAGGTTTTTATTTATAAGCCACGCTACACCTCTTGCACTTGATGAAAACGAGGAGTAATATACTTTACCAATCCAGTCACGCTTCAATTTTGAGTGCTCAATGTCAGTGAGATGTGTTTCTTGGATAAATGCAATATCCGTCTTTTGTTTTTTAAAATAAGTTATTTTTTTCCTTTTAGTTGGGTTATTTACTCCTTTCATGTTTAATGACATACAATTTAAGTGTCCTGTTCCATCCATTGTTCAATAGAAAAAAAGAAGATTGAGAAAAAATATAACCAAAATTAAAGCCGCAAGCGGCGTCAAACGGCCCTCGCCGCACTAATGGGCCAATTTAAAATATTTTACTTTCACCTGACCTAAACCCTGGAGTTGAACATTGGATTAAAGTTTAATGCAAATCAGTCTTTGTTTGTGCACACGGGAAAAAAATTAATGTTGTCAAAAACGGCCAAAAAAACCCTCACATTTTGCCGCTCCGCTGCTCAAGCAACGTTTCACTGATCAAAATTCCCTGAAATCATTTTGAAGGTAAATGTGTTGAGATGATTTGGAACAATTTTGATGCCAATCGGTGAAACGGCCGAGGAGGAGTTGCTTTCCAACCGACGTGTATGAAAATGATTGGTTTTCATTTTTCCATTTTGCAATGACATTTATGGGCTTCCTGTTTGTCAGAGGGCTTAGCCATAATAAAAAAATGTCCATGTCTTGACTTGAGGAACATGTGTTCCAAATTACATGGTTCTACGACAATTTTTACCTCGAACCCCTCCCATAGGCATTTTTAAATTGGCTGTTGTAGGTGGCGCTATAGAGCCAATTTCGAAATTTTAACTTTCAAATGACCTAGACCCAAGAGGTGTACCATGGATTCAAGTTTTGTGCAAATCAGACTTTGTTTGTGCAAACGGAAGCAATTTTTTTATTGTCAAAAACTGAAAAGAAATACACCACTTTTTGGCGCTCCGCTGCTCAAACAACGTTTCACTGATCAAAATTCCCTGAAGTCATTTTGATGGTACATGTGTTGAGATGATGTGAAGCGATTTTGAGGCAAATAGGTGAAACGGCCGAGGCTGGTTTGATGTTTGTGTGAGGTGTACATTTGCAATGAATGGGGAGCGTTTGTTGTCGCCACGGCAACAGGGTAAAAAATAAGCCTTGGACCCCATTGACTTTTTGAATGAAGAGGGCAAAACAGATTTATGTGCAAAATTTCAAACATTTTGAAAAAACTAAATTTGAAATTGCCAATCTAAAACTTTGAAATAGTCTGTAGGGGGCGCCAATGTGTCAATTTGAATCATTTCACTTTCAAATGACCTAGACCCTAGAGTTGAACAATGTATTAAAGTTTTCTGCAAATCAGACTTTGTTTGTGCAAACGGGAGCAAATTTAATGTTGTCAAAAACAGCCAAAAAAAGGTCACATTTTGCCGCTCCGCTGCTCAAACAATGTTTCACTGATCAAAAATCCCTGAGGTCATTTTGAAGGTACATGTGTTGAGATGATGTGGAGCGATTTTGAGGCGAATCGGTGAAACAGCCGAGGAGGAGTCGCTTTCCAACCAACATGTATGAAAACTTTTGCTGTTCATTTTTCCATTTTGCAGTGCTATTTATGGGCTTCCTGTTTGTCAGAGGGCGGGGCCATAATTATATTTTTTTCTTGTCTTGACTTGAGGAACATTTGTACCAGGACAGGAAGTACTTTGTGGAGATTGGAAACTGTGTCTCAGATCATATATATATGGAGTACCACAGGGGTCGATCCTGGGACCTCTTCTGTTCAATCTCTACATGCTGCCGTTAGGTCAGTTAATACGCAGAAACGAAGTTTCCTATCATAACTATGCAGATGACACTCAGATCTATGTCTCACTGACTGCAGGAGAACATGGACCAGTGGACTCACTCCTTCACTGTATCCAACAAATCAGTGAGTGGATGCAAAACAACTTCCTTCAGCTAAACGCAGACAAAACTGAAATGATTGTCTTTGGTCCCCAGAAACAAAGAGAGAGCGTCATCTGTCACCTACAGTCTCTCTCCCTAAAACCTTCAAACAAGGTCAGAAATCTAGGGGTAATACTGGACTCAGACTTGAATTTTAATAGCCACATCAAATCAGTAACATCAGCAGTTGTTGAAGAAGAGGATTCTCTGTTGACGCGGAGCCACGCTCAAATGGTGTCTGCGCGCGGCATCCATTACCCGGACTTTATCTGCGAAGTAGTGGAATTTGGCAATGATGGGACGTGGCCTCTGACCGTTTGACGGCATTGGGTCCATTGTGCGACGGGCTCGATCCAGGATAATCCTCCTGTCTGCGGTGTCAAGATGAAGGTATTCAGGAATCCACCTCTCGAGGTATTTCACCACGTTTGTCCCTTCTTCGTGTTCTGCTATTCCGAGTATTCTGACGTTACTCCTCCGGGAGTGGTTCTCAAGCTGGTCGGTGCGCTCTTTTAGTTGCTTGATTTGTTTTTCAAGATTCACATTTTAGCCTCGGATGCAGCTGTAGTCTGGTCAATGCCTTCCATTAGCTTATCAGTGGTATCCATTCTTGCGGCTAGGGCCTGTATCTCAGATCCTCGGTCAGCGATGGCTTCAAGCACAGAGGCCAGTCTTGTTTCAATCATTTGCGTAACATCCGCAATTTTCTTATCCATCACCTGTGACATCTCAATGTCACAGGCGTCTCAATTTTCTTAATCTGTTCCTTGATTCCAGCTAATTTGCTGTCTATGACCGCTGTGAAAGCATGTATGTTAGTGTTAGCATCAGACGAGCTAGTATTAGCGTCTTTGCTGCTAACTTCTTGGATGATTTGGGATCCATCTTCTCCTTTGGTCCTCTTTCCCCTCTTTTTTTGCATGTTGGTAGGAGTCCTCTTGAAATAGTTGTCAATGTTCAAATCAAGCACTTTTCAGTCTTGAAAGTATAATTTAGTGGAAAAGGTCTGAGAGTTCTTGACCGTGCTGCCTAAGCAGTCGCCATCTTGCTGGAACTCCAAGGTTGACATTTTTTTAATAAAAACAATTTTCTTGTATTGGTCAGATGAAATATGCTAATTTCTTTAGATTATTTTTGAGACTTTTTTGCCAAAATCATCAATAATAAAACAATTAAAGGCTAGAACTACTTCAGTTGTGTGTACTGCATCTAAAATATATGAAAGTCTACTGTTTATCAGTACATTACAGACATGAAGTTTATCTCAATATGCTATTTTTTTAAGAAGGACCTGTATATATTTCAAATAGAGACAATAGCCTATCAATATTGTAAGAATTGTGACTCCAACTATTCCACACACCTGGCTAAACATTTGAATGAACAGTCAAAATGTAATCCAATATATAGAAACTTTACTAAATGTTGGAAGAATATTATAGTGCAGTCATACATTTGTATGTCAATTCATACCAACCTCATTCAAGTTTTCATTGAGGTAGGTGTCGTTGAGGATAAACTCTGGATATCCCACTTTAGGCAGCACCGCATGAGCCTGCAGATGTACCAGCAGATATAGTATAATTAGTTTTAGTAGTGATAGAAGCAGCAGCGGTAGCTGTGGTTGTATTCATTGCAGCCTATGGAATTGTTTTCTTGAGTTGAAACATTAATATACATATTACAGTGTAGAATAAATTCTAAGCATAAACATGAGCCTTGTGCAGTTAGAGAGTGGTGGAAATAACAGGTTATTGGATTAAAATGAAGCTTTGGGAAGTCAACATCTGAGTTTCTCTTTTCAATTGTGTATGCATCATTTGAACAAAGAATAAACGACATGTACGACACACTGGGGCAAAAAAGTATTTAGTCAGTCACCAAATGTGCAAGTTCTCCCACTTAACAAGATGAGCGAGGCCTGTAATTTTCATCATAGGTATACCTCAACTATGAAAGACAAAATGATTTTAAAAATCCAGAAAATGACATTTTTTAAGAATTTATTGGCAAATCATGGTGGAAAATAAGTATTCGGTCAACCACAAAATTAATCTCCATACTTTGTTGTATGCCCTTTGTTGGCAATGACAGAGGTCAAATGTTTTCTGTAAGTCTTCACAAGGTTTTCACACACTGTTGCTGGTATTTTGGCCCATTCCTCCATGTAGATCTCCTCTAGAGCAGTGATGTTTTGGGGCTGTCGCCGGGCAACATTCAACTCCCTCCAAAGATTTTCTATGGGGTTGAGATCTGGAGACTGGCTAGGCCACTAACCACCACTTCGAAATGCTTCTTACGAAGCCACTCCTTTGTTGCCCGGGGGCTGTGTTTGGGATCATTGTCATGCTGAAAGACCCAGCCACGTTTCATCTTCAATGCCCTTGCTGATTGAAGGAGGTTTTCATTCAAAATCTCTGTATTCATTCTTTCCTTTACACAGATCAGTCGTCCTGGTCCCTTGGCAGAAAAACACCCCCAAAGAATGATCTTTCCATCCCCATCCTTCACATTAGGTATGGTGTTGTCTGGATGCAACTCTCCTCCAAACACAACGAGTTGAGTTACCACCATGTGACATTCTCCCAATCCTCTTCTTGATCATCCATATGCTCTCTAGCAAACTTCAGATGGGCCTGGACATGTACTGGCTGGACAAATCTGGCATCACTGCCGGATTTGAGCCGTGTGTTACTGATGGTAGCCTTTGTTACTTTGGTCCCAGCTCTCTGCAGCTCATTCACTTGGTCCCCCCCGTATGGTTCTGGGATTTTTGCTCATCGTTCTTGACCCTTTTGACCCCACACGGGGTGAGATCTTGCGTGGAGCCCCAGATTGAGGGAGATTAAGAGTGGTCTTATGTGTCTTCCATTTTCTTACTAATTGCTCCCACAGATTTCTTCACACCAAGCTGCTTACCTATTGCAGATTCAGTCTTCCCAGCCTGGTGCAGGTCTACAATGTTGTTTCTGGTGTTCTTTGACAGCTCTTTGATTGTGAACAGGTGTCTTTCATACTGATAACTAGTTTAAACAGGTGCCATTAATACAGGTAATGAGTGAAGGAGAGAGGAGCATCTTAAAGGAGGAGTTACAGGTTACAGATATCTTTCTTGTTTGTAGGTGACCAAAAAATTATTTTCCACCATAATTTACAAATAAATTCTTTCAAAATCACAAAATGTGATATTTTCTCATTCTGTCTTTCATAGTTGGAGTATACCTATGATGAAAATTACAGGCTTCTCCCATCTTTTTAAGTGGGAGAACTTGCACAACTGGTTGCTGACTAAATACTTTTTTCCCCACTGAAGAAGATTACATGAGAATACAGTAGGGGATTACAGCAGATCCTAACGTCAGCAGTAGTAGTAGTTGTAGTTGCAGCAATAGAAGTAGTAGCAGCAGTAGAAGTAGTAGCCATGGCAGCAGAAGCTCCAGTAGCAGCAGTAGGAGCAGTAGTAGTAGCAGCAATAGTATTAGTAGCTCCTATCAATTGTTATTCACCCTTGCCTTGTCTATAGCTTTCTTCTTTGTAGGTTCATCCATCCAGTCATTTTCTTTCTCCAAAATGTCTATGAACGCCCAGCGGATTCCTTCAATCAGCTCCTCCATCTGGGACCAGCAGAATCATAAATTACATGACAGACAGCAGCTCTAGACCAGTGTCAAATCTAAAAGTTAAATCAGTGTTTGTACAATAACCTTTGCTGTGTCATTTAATATTTTGCATATTACACTTAGACTTGAGCTAAGAAATTATTACATTCCTTCAGATTCAAGCTGGGCTACTTACCTTTTATGTAGAATAAATAGTGACGTCACTATCATGGTCTTTAAATAAAAGACACTTGGGAGCTACATAGATATGCAGATTTTTCTTTATCCTACATATTCTGCAACTTTTTTAATCTAGCACGCTAGTTCAGGCTACAGTGATGTGCTGCCTTTTTTGAAACCTTCTATTTACTTTTTTAACCATAAAAAAAACTATTAGGGCTGGGACTCGATTAAAAAAATTAATCTAATTAATTAGAGGCTTTGTAATAATTAATCACAATTAATCATATTTTAATCACATATACATATTTGACCTGGGAACAGTGAGAAGTATTTTTTTTCACATGGATTTTTAGTATACCATTGAATAATGACTAAATACATAAGCTTAAGCAACAAATATATTGTTTATTTTTGTTCAAGTCCAACAGACCAGTGCAATCTTTGCCATTAAGTGCAGCAATACCATATTTAGAAAAATATACTTCCTATCCACAGGGCCAACCAATGCGGTCACATCAGCTCATTTGTTTCTGTGTAGCCCACATGAATTTTGACTGGTTTATTGCAGTACCGCGAGAATCCTGCAGCACATCGGTCCTTCAGCTCCAAGCTGTAATACCCTATCCCAACCATTCCCAAACTCAGTAACACCGAGGCCCCCTTAAAAATCTGACGGGTCTGCGTGGCCCCCCAAAATAATACCCAAGAAGACAACATTAAGAATAAGCTCTTCTGGTTATTTTATTTTGGGGAAATAGCCTCTGCTACAAACATTGTAATACCAAAATGATTACAGTGGATTATTCAAGTCAAATAATGAACACAAATATTTTAATATTACAAACAAAAAATTATAAATTTAACATTAAATAATTATATTATTTTTTTATTTTTTTTATGACCTCCCGTGGCCCCCCTGCAGTACCCTCGCGGCCCACCAGGGGGCCGCGGACCCCACTTTGGGAGACACTGCCCTATCCAGTTATTACAATAGATCCATTGTTCATATTCACTGTACCACTGTGGTTTGTTGTTGTCTGGACCTAATTCATGCCATCCATGATTCATGCGTGTTAGTTGGCGCTCCGGTACAATCGGTCCGTCTGAAAAACGTTCCGCAGTGCAAAAATAAATACGATTAAAACTCTAATTTTTGTGTAATTAATTCATCTTAATTAACGTGTTCAAGTCCCGGCCCAAATAACTATGTAATAAAAACAATCAAAATTGTTTATATTTTCTAATAGAATAGGTTCTAATACAAGTTTTCACTTTTGGCCAATTCTCTGTCACTTCTTTAGATCAGAACAAAAAAAAAAACCTTCACTCAGCCAAAATCTCTTGGCCCAAAGTGTCAAACAGTGACTGACACAGCTCTATTAATATTAAAACACTTTAAGATGTATAAAAGTTGTCTTATTGTGTCATAAACCAAACTTCTGTCCCAATTCTCACTAAAGTTGCTGGAAATAAGAATGAGTGTAGTTTGCACCCAATAAAACAATTTACGAGTCAGTCCAAACAGTGAACACAAGAGAAGTTACATGTACTAATATTCAGAGAAGCGGATTCAAATGTACCATGTGTTTCTTGTCCTCCTGGAAGTGTGCGCTCACAAAAAGGCGGCCGGTGGCATAAACAAGAGAGTTCTCCACGTAGTTAACGCACTTATCCCAGCGGGGGGTCAGGGAGGTGGTTCCCGTGGTAACCTGATGAGAAAAGATGAAACACGATGTGTGGCGACAGTAGCTCAGTTGGTAGAACAGTGGCCTTTGAGCCTGGAGATCGTGAGTTCGATTCCCACCATGGGATACTGCTCCCACTGATGTCTACTGTCATTGTGTCCTTGGGCAAGACACTTAACCCCATGTTGCCTGATGCCCCCGCTGAAAGACCAAGGCTGTTTCACCACTGACAGAGCAGCCATCTTCCTGTGGACCCACCCCCTGCAGAGGATCAGCGAGGGACTGGTGCTATGAGCATTGGGTGGCACCTCTCATTGCCACCCCCCTGACCCAGAAATGGACAATAAAGGGCTTGAAAATGAATGAATGAATTAATGGATAAAAGACTATTTATATACAACATGGTATGTAGTCCTGTACTCTTTGAGGTTCTGTTGCATTCTAGTCCGAGTTTGGTTTTGTTCTTTTTTATTTGGGTTCAGTCCACATTCTGCTTATTCTTCAAAGGCATAAACATTTGCATATAGATAACATGGACCGAGGTTTGGTTCTTAAAGGCGCTATACCCGTTTCTGCAATGTTTGAATGTTTAGCACCGCCTCCCAACTCGCTCAGTGGCTTCTCATTTCCCCTGCGCTCTCATAACACAGAGCCATCTAGTTCAATTTGCGATCTGATATGTATGCTAACATTAGCATTAGCACAACTTCTTGTAAGCTGTACAACAATCACAGATGAAATGGTACTAAAGCAACGCACTGCTAACACAATATATAAGAATACTGCTAGTTTCGCATCCGAATTTATTCATTAAAACATTAAAATATATTTGAATATTTAATTATAATTTATTATGCAGCTCCTCACAGCAGAAGTAGAGCACTCCATTGACTTGAATGTAATTCTATCAATCATTTTTTCTTGATAACAGAACTCTCAAATCAATAATGGCCGCTGCCCTTTGACAATGCAATCTCTGTTTGTAATTCCGGTGTGTAAAATACTGCCATTACTCCACAAGTACAACGAGAGAAGCTAGCGGAGCTAGCCACGCTCAATAAACAACTACATATCTATCAATCAACACCATTAAACGTTAATCGGACGATACAGTATACATATACATCCTTAGCACACACGCACGGACGATTTCAGAATTTGCTGTCAACGTTTTCATGACAAAAATACTGTTTTAAAGTGACAAAAAGCTATCGCGAAAAACCCGGAAGTTACCATGAAACAGCAGGCTAGCTTAGCTGTTACCTGCCTAGAACGTCCCAGTGAAACCTTTGGGAGCTAACTATTTTATTTGCAGTCATTAAATACATTTCGAATTATAAGGGCTGTCTAATATTTGTTCGAATATATATATATATTTTATTTTAGAATTATATTCGAATTTTGAAGTCGAAGCCCTGGTGTTAAGCAGCGCTGTAGAGGCTAGAGGACGCAGGCTGTTCGCTGCTTGTTCTGTGAGTGGAGGAGAACGAGCGTCCCGCTAAGACTCTACTCAGCACTTTTCACGGCATAAATTTCATACACAGCTGAATCAATGACCTAAAATTTTCAATTAAATTATGTATTATGATACAACTTGCATGTAGTAAAAAGCATTTTTATGAACTACTTAGAAAAAAAATCGGGTATAGCTTCTTTAAAGTTGTGTTTGAAAGTTTACATGCAGGGACAATAGTTTTGCTGCCATATTTAGGAGATAATGAATAATAATGAATTATCCTTTATTTTATTGATAAAATATGTTTTTATTATTTATTTGCGTTGTCTCAGCCTCGAAGTGTGACATCACGGTGGGCACTGGCTCATTGAAATATGCAGTGATTCCGACACTGAACTAGAAACATGCGAAAAAACCTCGTCTATGAACCGAATATCAACGGATGAAGAACAAAGTGAATTACTAGAAGAAGTCTTACAACTTTTGCCACATGTTTGAGCCTGATGCTTCCTCGAATAAGAGAAGAGACAAACACAGACCCGGAAAAGGACCTGATGAGGCGTTTGGAAAGCGAGTTGACGCAGAACAGCACATACATCAGCATCAGCATACAGGGAAATAAATGGAAAAATAATTATTAATTCTTTTTTAACAACAAAAAACGTCAACAACAACAGACTGATTACAGACACAACTTCAATTAAATTCTCGACAGCAGCACTCACACACATAAACATATTGCAAACACCAGTGGGACCGAGAGGTAAAGAGGGTTCTAGGGGCCTCCCCCAGAAAAATTTTCAAACGCGAGCGATGGCCTTGCTCTCTCTGCTTCCTTTTAATGATCAATCTACAAGGCAGAACACATAAGAAAGTTGTAGCTTAGCCTTCGTCCATTTTCCTCTTCTTCCTCCTCGTCCAAAGCCTCCTCTTCTCCTTTGGTCTGAAGCATATTGTGCGCTTGTGAGAGGTGCATTGCAACACATCTTCTTGTCATCTCGAATATCCACCAATTAGTGCGAAAAATAGATGAACCAAATATAAACAAGCACGATAGTATGGTGGATATGTACAGTACTTCCGGATCACACCAGTGCCCGCTGTGACGTTACTGAGGGAGAAGTGCTGGTATGATTCTTTTTGTTTCTAAGGACGTTGCTATGGTCTTTTCTTAATTTGGGGGGATCAGACGAAAAAAAATACAATTGATTTTGAAACCTTTAGTTGCTCTCTTCTAATATAAAATGGTATTAAAACTTTTTCTAAATCGATACAAACCCTGCATAAGGTCTTTAAGTATTGACATTTTCACTTCCACAGCTGAGGCAGATTTAAATGAAACATATTTAGACTCCTGTAATATCCTAGCGGAATACATGTACAATCTCGTATAATGCTGTTTTTTTTACTGCATCTGCTTTTAAGGTTGGAGTTCAACATGGTCCTGATTCACCCAGAATGTTTTTTATGTAAAAGAAATACATATTGAGGAAATTAGGAGATATTTTATTCGTCTAACAGTTGGGGAAAATACACTCTTTTACAGTGTACACTACTTTATCAATTGACTGTCAAATGGAGTAAAAGGCACGAGGCCCGATAAGATGTGCAACTGATGAAATTGTGCAATGTCAGAATGGACCTCAGATCATTTTGTCCATAGAATGACTTTCTTTCACAACAAAAATGGCCTCCGTCTCCCTTCCCCAAGCTGCCCTTGATCTCTTTGCAAAATCAAAACCTTGAGTGAGTAGTTTTGTATCTTTCAGGTGAAGATGGACAGTAAAACTGAATGAGGATTCTGAAGAGTTATTTCCCTCTGTGGCCCAATGTTTAACGACCCAGGACAGCAGTAAGAAAGGTTAGCACATTCGTTAGACCTGTGTCAACTGCATGTATTTACCATAGGGAAGACAGGGACATGTCAAAATAAAATGGTCAGAACTCCACGGAATCTCTTTGTAAAACAGGGATCAAGAGTTCCGAGCTTCCGGCTCGACCACACGACATTGTGGGTAGTATTCCCAAAAAAGTGGGCATGAAATCACGTTCTCCTATTAGATTACCTGTTGCGAGCGTGATTTGTCTCTCGTTTTCCAGCCCATCGATTGTTTTAATCGCTACAAAAATCACCAATTTCAGACATTTAGAAGGTAAGGTAAAGATTTTTTCATGTAACAAAAAAGCAATGCATTTTTTTCCTTGTAGTTTTAGATGTAAACACAACCGACAAACAATAGAGCTACACGCAGCTTATGCTACTTACAAGGATCGAATGCTTACACGCAAGCTTTATAAACTTGCCCAAAGCTGTACTTTGGACATATTTGTCTGGTGTGGAGCTTCTGAAAGTAGAGAATAGCTGGGGCACGTACACTGTAAAGAATTTCCTTGTAGAAAAACGGTAAATTTGCATGTTTGAATTGTTTTTCAAAATAACATTTGTTTAATGTTGAAATTTCATTGTAATTTTACAGAAATTTGTTACAGTGTAATCAGGAGTGACCTCAGTGAAGACGATGACAATGACATTCAGAGGCAGTACTGTAAGCTGTTACTATGGACAGGCTAACACTTAAGCACGGAGATTTCACATGTGTACAGATAAAGTGAAAATAACTTTGTTTAAAGCCTACTGCACACCTCTCTATACTGCCAGCTCACTGTTTGTTCTTAACAATGTCCCCACTCTGAATGCTCTGATCAGAAATGTTATTTATGAGTTCATGAAACGCTCTGAGGGCTCTATGTCCAAAGTACAGCTTTGAGTAAGTTTATAAAGCTCGCATGTAAGCATTCAATCCTCGTAAGTAGCATAAACTGTGTGTAGCTCTATTGTGAGTCGTGATTTCATGCCCACTTTTTTGGGAAATTCTACCCACAATGCCGTGCGGTCGAGCCGAAAGCTCGGATCTCTTGATCCCTGTATGGACTACAGCAAGCTTCACTCTTTTTGACATGGATTGTCACGCTAAGTATTGTCCACCATGTGACAATTTGTGTTTTGTGTGTAACAGATATTGACACAGTTTGGCTTATTGCTTTCAAAATTGCTTCTGTATTTGGTCGTAATGTTAACACTGATCAAGCCTCGGCAAAATGACTGGTTTGCAATGCAGGTTAAAGTCTCCAGGTTGTGTCGCTCAGTCTGTAAGGACAGATCAACCGGGGTTTTTCTGGAGGAAATTTCTGTGTTCTTGCGCAGTGGGAATGAGGCTAGTGTATAATGTACAAACCCGTGCATAGTCCAAGTATCTATAGAGGAATCTTCGGCTCAAAGTTGTGATTCTGGAGAACACTGTTCTCCACTGGACGTAGTTAGCTACAGTCCTGCAGAGAAAACACAACCATCAGTGAATGGTTAAACAATTTTTAATGCATACAGTATGTAACCCATGGTTATTTAATGTTTTTATTATCAGAGCATTATTATTTTTTTACTTCAAAGGTTACAAGTATTGTTTTATCCTATGTACCATGAATGCAGCGTAGCGCTGCTGGTGGCAACTCCCTGCTCAGAGCTAGGTAGCTTTTTTCACAACATCTGTCTGCACAGTGTTGTGGATTCCTTTAACCTGATGAGCAGTGGATTTAGAATATATGTAGAAAATCCTGCTATGGAGCCATCTCATGTGGCATTCATCTAAGGACTGAATGCCACAGGAGATGTCTACGCAGGACGCTCCAAATCCGAAGACCACCTGGCTCCTAAAGGGGTAGTAGGACAAAAAAGATTTCCTACAGTTCTGAAGATATACTTTGTTTTGTTCTAAGATCACAGACATTTTATGTTGCTACTTTTTTTTTGGGTCAGGCCTGATACCATACACAAAAAACTGAACAATTGACTTTTGAAATACCAACCAACTTCAGCTGAGATGGACAGTTTGATTCTGTGCACTTTGGACACTTAACCCTTTCATGCATGAATTATGATAGGCTACTTCAAGATTATTTCCCACAAGTGTTGTAATTACTCTTGATGCATGAAAAGATAGACAATATTATAATTTTGAAATAACATGAATTATCCATGGAGTTGGTGACACGTCCTCTAGAGAGGACTACGTGCACTTGTGTAATGGAAGAAGAATACTGTAAACCCTATGGGACATTTTGATGTTATCTTTAGTGTTGTATTTTCCTTGTTTTAACGCTCCAAAACTGTAAAATGTGAAACATTAACCAAAGAAAAACTCATTTGTTGCACTGACTAAATGACTGAAATCTTATAGTGAATTTGGCTGGTACAAATCAGCATGGAACTAAAACAAGACTTCCAAATCTGCATAGGCTTGTAGAAATTAGATATTTAAGTATGACGACCAAATGAATCATTTCACCCAGTGTATTGCCCAGTAGTTACAGTGGGACAAAAAAGTATTTAGTCAGCCACGGGTGGTGCAAGTTCTCCCACTTAAAATAATGACAGAGGTCTGTAATTTTCATCATAGGTTCACTTCAACTGTGAGAGACAGAATGTGAAAAAAAAATCTAGGAATTCACATTGTAGGATTTTTAAAGAATTTATTTGTAAATTATGGTGGAAAATAAGTATTTCGTCAATAACAAAAATTCAACTCAATACTTTGTAATATAACCTTTGTTGGCAATAACAGAGGTCAAACGATTACTATAGGTCTTTACCAGGTTTGCACACACAGTAGCTGGTATTTTGGCCCATTCCCCCATGCAGATCATCTCGAGAGCAGTGATGTTTTGGGGCTGTCGCCGAGCAACACGGACTTTCAACTCCCTCCACAGATTTTCAATGGGGTTGAGGTCTGGAGACTGGCTAGGCCACTCCAGGACTTTCAAATGCTTCTTACGGAGCCACTCCTTCGTTGCCCGGGTGGTGTGTTTGGGATCATTGTCATGCTGGAAGACCCAGCCACGTTTCATCTTCAAAGCTCTCACTGATGGAAGGAGGTTTTAGCTCAAAATCTCACAATACATGGCCCCATTCATTCTTTCCTTAACATGGATCAGTCGTCCTGTCCCCTTAGCAGAAAAACAGCCCCAAAGCATGATGTTTCCACCCTCATGCTTCACAGTAGGTATGGTGTTCTTGGGATGCAACTCAGCATTCTTCTTCCTCCAAACACGACGGGTCGAGTTTATACCAAACAGTCTCCCAATCCTCTGCTGTATAATCCATGTGCTCTTTGGCAAACTTCAGACGGGCCTGGACATGCACTGGCTTCAGCAGGGGGACACGGCTGGCACTGCAGGATTTGATTCCCTGTCGTCGTGTTACTAATGGTAACCTTTGTTACTTTGGTCCCAGCTCTCTGCAGATCATTCACCAAGTCCCCCCGTGTGGTTCTGGGATTTTTGATCACTGTTCTCATGATCATTTTGACTCCATGGGATGAGATCTTGCGTGGAGCCCCAGATCGAGGGAGATTATCAGTGGTCTTGTATGTCTTACATTTTCTGATAATTGCTACCACAGTAGATGAAGCTCCCACTGAAAGATCTCAGCTCCTGTGGACTCACCACCTGCAGGAGGATCAGTGAGGGGCTGGTGCTCTGTGTACTGGGTGCAGCTCTGACTGCCGCCACCCCCGACCCAGAGATGGACTAAGGGGAAGAAAATAGATGGATGGATGGATGCTACCAGAGGGGATTTGTTCACACCAAGCTGCTTGCCTATTGTAGAGTCACTCTTCCCAGTCTGGTGCAGGTCTACAATTCTTTTCCTGGTGTCCTTCGACAGCTCTTTGGTCTTAGCCATAGTGGAGTTTGGAGTCTGACTGTTTGAGGCTGTGGACAGGTGTCTTTTATACAGATAACGAGTTCAAACAGGTGCCATTAATACAGGTAACGAGTGGAGGACAGAAGAGCTTCTTAAAGAAGAAGGTCTGTGAGAGCCAGAGATCTTCCTTGTTTGAAGTGACCAAATACTTATTTTCCACCATAATTTACAAATAAATTATTTAAAAAATCTTACAATGTGAATTCCTGGATTTTTTTTTCACATTCTGTCTCTCACAGTTGAAGTGTACCTATGATGGAAATTACAGACCTCTGTCATTATTTTAGGTGGGAGAACTTGCACAATTGGTGGCTGACTAAATACTTTTTTGCCCCACTGTATTTTCCAATTTGCAATGCACAGGGGTCGGAGTTGACCATTATATCATCAATCCGCTCCTCCGGAAATTGATGAATGAATGAATCTATTGGAGCTCCTCCCTCAATCTTCACCTACCAATAAAAAAGTAAATTGTCCCTCAAACTTATTATCTTTGGCTTTGCAGACATGTCTGCAATCTACTATTTTCCAATCCAGTTTATTTATAAAGCATTAATAAAAACAACAAGGTTGCCCAAAGTGCTGAACATAAAAATACATACACAAATATACAATTACAAAATACAAATGAGTGGCAAAAAAAAACACTATTTACAGCAAAAAAATTCAATTGAAAATCAATTAAAAGCCAATGAGAGCAAGTGAGTCTTAAGACGAGACTTAAAACAGGAAGTGACTCAGACAGTCTCACACACAGGGGCAGCTCATTCCATAGTTTACGACCAACAACCAAAAAAGCTCGATCTCCTCTGAGTTTCCGTTTAGTCGGAGGAACCCAGAGCAGAGCCTGATCTGCTGACCTAAGAGAACATGATGGAGTGTATGTCGTCAGACAGATAACGTGGAGAAAGGCCATTCAGGCATTTATAGACAAACAAAAGGACTTTAAAATCAATCATTATTTAATATTTTTGAGTTATTGAGCTTGGTCAAGTTGGACAGCACCATCTCCCTAAACTTCAACCTCTTAATTCACCTCAAATTTCTCAGCATGTTCTTCTCCTTCTACATTAAACTTCACTGTCACAGCTGTTACAATTTGCCAATTGTCTTTTATCTGGTACCATTCTTCATCATTCCCACAAACATCACCCTCACTTGAGTCAGATGGTAATTCCTGGGCTGTCCTGTAGGCTTTTTTATTCTGCTCTGACCCTGACGCTACAAAACACATGGAAAACACATGGAACATTATTCTCATCATATGCCTATTATTCACAAGATATTATGTATATCAAATAATGTAATTTGTTTGCACCCAAAACTTTATTGAAAAGTATTTTCAGAAACAACTAAGTTGCAGCAGTGCATATGGCTAGAAACACTAGGGTCCACTATAGTGAAAAAAGTGCAACTGTGACTTTAATTTAAAACTCAAACATATGGAAGAAAACAACTATTGAATAGTTGTCCACTGTAGTGACCACTATGCATGAAGTATCTTCTCAATGAGCTGGAAAACGGCAGCAAGTCCTAAATAGCTCTGAAACAGTTGTTGTTTTGCAGTGATGGGAATAATTAATAGTTACCTAATATAACTTAAGTTATACGAATAGGTGCGTAGTCCCTTAGGACTTCGCTAGTGGGATATCACTCGTGACCCCCAGGTCACACGCCAGAGAGATCAAAATAATTTGCTCCAATCACCAGCCACCCTCCTCTATACAGGCCCCTGCACACAGCCGCACCCCCTCTTGAACTCTGCCAAGCCGGGCTGGCCTGATGGGCTCGTAGCTAAGGGACTACGCACCTATTCGTAGAATAGTTACATTAGGTAACTATTAATTCTACGTCATGGTGCTACGTCCCTTAGGACTTCGCTAGTGGGACACAACGCGGAGGCCGTAGGAACATGTACTCCCAGCAGGCCAGCAAAGGGTGATTGGAGCTCCGCCCGAGCAAGACCCTCACACAGTGAGAGGACTCAGGGCAGAAGAAACAAATGCGTGTTACAGGGCCACTCCTACCAAGGATACCCCCACGTAACACAGACCGTAGGTCACCCGTAGTCCCAGGACGCCTCTCCCAAGAGCTCCTGACGTGGACTACCTGACCGACCAACACACATATAAGTACCGCACCTGTAGGATGCCTCTCCCAAGAGCTCCTGAACCAGGGCGGAAAGTCAACCGAAGGCCCCCTCAGAGGAGGGACCTAACGGTCTAACTCAGTCCGCTGCACTCAGCATGGAATGGGCCACCGACCGGTCCGACACATCCAAAAGATAAGACCGGACGAAAGAAGAGGACGACGCCCAAGAAGCCGCACGGCAGACGTCCTCAACCGACGTCCCCCTGAGGAGGGCCGTAGAGGCCGCCACCCCACGCGTGGAATGCGACCTGAAGCCCACCGGGGGGGCCAGACCCTGCGTCTGATACGCCCGCCGCACAGCCGCGGCGACCCAGTGCGCTAGCCGCTGAGCCGACAGCGGGGCGCCCCTGTTCTTGGGGCCCAGACACACAAACAACTGATCACCCAACCTGAATGACGACGTCATGGCCAGGTAATGCCT